GAAAAATAATGAGATTGGTTACCTACAGCAAGTAAGCGGGAATGGAGTAGAAAGGATGAAGGAGATGGGAACAGAGTAGAAGGGATATAGGGGAGTGACACGTCTTTATGTATAACTTTTTGTATGGTTCTGACTTAAAACCAAAAGCAAATAATTTAAATTAGTCAAGATGTGGAGGGAGGGCCAGCCCGGTGGTGCACTCAGTAGAGTGCGGCGCTTGGGAGTGCAGCGGCGCTCCCGCCGAGGGTTCGGATCCCATATAGAGACTGGTCCGCTCACTGGTTGAGCGCGGTGCAGGCGCGACACCGAGGGTTGCAATCCCATTACCGGTCACGAAAAAAGACAAAAAAAAAAAAAAGATGTGGAGGGAGAGGGACCCAAAAATGGAATACAAATAGTAACATATGAACCTGTGTTATAAATGAATAACACAACTAGAATGAACGGGATGGGGAAGAACTGATCTGAGTAACTTTGTAAATAGTATTTTAACTACATATGCTAAGGCTAAAGTAAATTTGTTTCTCACAGGGGTATGAGTTAGCATTATAATAATACAAATATTCTAGGATAACTAAATATATTGTAGATAATGAGAGGGAGGTTTCTCGTTGTCAGCAAAAGGGTTACGAATAAAGAAATAGAATAAACCCTGTAACGACAGATTGGAATCTGAATGACTGATTCCAGTATGAATTCATGGTTATACATGGTTAGTAATTGTATTAGTCCAATTTTTGTTGCTTATAACAGAATGCTTGAAACTGGGTAATTTATAAAGAAGTAAAATTTATTTCTACAGTTTTGGAGGCTGAGAAGTCCACAGTCCAGGGAGCACATCTGGAGAGGGCCTTCTTTTGTGTGGGAACTCTCTACAGGGTCCTGTGGCAATGCAGGGTATCACATGGTGAGAATGGCAAGAGCTAGAGAGTTAATGTGTTCACTTGCTGTCCTTTGAAAGCCATCAGAACCACATTCTAATAGCCCTTTAAACCATTAACCAATTACTCCAAGAATGGATTATTACATTTATGAGGACACAGTCCTCACAATCCAATCACCTCTTAAGGCCCCATCTTTCAAATACCATAATTGAATTTCCTACACTCTTAACACTGTTACAATTAGGGTCAAGCTTTAATGAATTTTGGGGGGGACATTCAATTTACAGCACACACACACACAAATACAGAAATACAGATGTGCATATGTTATGCATTCATGTATTTCCTAGCTGTCTGAGAGAGCCTAGAAACAATGACACCCCAGTAGTTGAGAATGCTTATTACTCAGATCTTAGTTCCTAAATACTATTCTCCAGTAAAAGGAATTGGGGCTCCTTGAATTCCAGGGCTGGGTCAGGAAAAACATGAGTTGAGCCCAGATCATCTTGTAGTACCAGAAAATAGGGAAGTGTTCAAAAAATTATGAGGACATGAAAAGACACAGGAGGTGTTCCCAATGGTCAAATCTTGAACAGTTTGAGTAACAAAAATGATAGTGATGGATTATAACCCATAAAAGATAACAAATGTCTATGAGCCCATATGGATGTAAACAAATAAATAAATAAATAAATGGAGAAGGGACAGCTCTTCCTTTATTAGAGTTTCATTAATAAGCATAAAAAGAGGGATGAAAATCAGCATTAGACAAACACCATAGTCATAATTGTTTCAAACAAGAATGCAAGATAAAATGAGCAGGCAAAATATGAGGGAATAAAGGGTAGTTTCATACCTCAATGTATCTTGCTACAAGATACTTATTCACTATGAAAGGAAAAATAGTAACTACAGTGAAGAAACCTAGCAGACACTACCTTAATCATGTGATGAAAATTAACATCACCAGTAACAAGACAAATTGACATCATGTGTCTCCTGACAGGATGCACTGAGAAGGGCACAATATCACTTCTGTGGTATTCTTGCCAAAAATGCGTTACCTGAATTTAATCATGAAGAAAAATCAGACAAGGTCGACGAGGTACATTTTAAATAACTCTCCGGTACTCTTCAAGTGTCAAAGTCATGAATTAAAAAAAACTAAGAAGACATGACAGTTGAGTGCAATGCTGGATCTTGTTTCCAAATAAACAAGCAAACAGAAACCACTAGTGAGACAATTAACAAAATCTAAATAAGGTTTGTAGCCAGTTAGCTCACTTGGGAGAGCATAGTGCTGGTAACACCAAGGTAATAGGTTTGGATCCCCATACTGGTCAGCCACTAAAAGAACAAACAAATAAAAAACTATCTGTTTCAAAAGGAGGGTATTAAAAATAATAAATTAATTAATAAAGTTTGTACATTAGATAATTGTATTGTATCAAAGTTAATTTCCTGGTTTTTATAATTGTAAAGTGGTTAAAGATGTTAACATTTGGGGAAGTTGAGTGAAGGGTATGCAGGAACCCTTTAGATTACTTTTGCACTTTTTTTTGAAGTCTGAAATTACTTTAAAATATAAAGTTTAGGGCTGAGCCCGTGGCGCACTCGGGAGAGTGCGGTGCTGGGAGCGCAGCAGTGCTCCCCCTGCGGGTTCGGATCCTATATAGGGATGGCCGGGGCGCTCACTGGCTGAGCACGGTGCGGCCGGTCTCAAAAAAGACAAAAACAAACAAACAAACAAAAAAAACAAACCCCCAAAAAGTTTGAAATAATGCAAAACACCTGTAATGGACTGTTCTGTTATTAAAATCCAGCATACTTGCCAGGAAGCAAGTAAACAATGAGGCTTGAGAAGTAGGCAGGACCAGGTCATGTAGGGACTTGGTAGCCATGTTAAGGGATTTAGGACTTTTATCTCAGAAGCTATGAGAACCAACAAATGGTTTTAAGAAGATGATGGGCTTGGGGTCAGTATACCAGTGATGGTCCCAACAGGAAAGAGATGGTACACTCAAGGTAACTTAAGGAAGATTTATTTACATAGACACTATAAGAGTGTTAGTATAGAGAACCATCCAAAAAAAGCCAATAGAGGGTAGGTAGAGCAGGAAAAGCCAGGGATCTAAACTGAAAAGGAGTGGCTAGTTAAAGAGGGTGAAGTCACAGAAAGGGAAGAGAACGTCTCAAGGAGGGGGGATAATGAACATCAAATGAGCAAGATAATGCATGAAAATGTCCTTTGGGTATAATTATTTGAAAGTTATTTGTGACTCTGGTGAGCACTGTTTCAATAAAATGATGGAAGAAGACAGAATGAGTTGAGAAGTGAGAGAGTGAGAAAATGGGGACAACTCTTTTGGCATGTTGGCTGTGTTGGGGAGGGAAAGAGAGGACATGCTTCATTCTGTAAGTTTTCCAACTATCTACTGTGGAATCAACTGGAACAACAGAAACACCTTTAACAAATTCCCTAAAGCATCACAATTACATAGAATGATTCTTTTTGGAGTCTTAAGTTTATCTACAAAATAACTTAATAAATCACAATCAGTCAAATACAATGTTCAACCTTAGCATCCAAATGGCACTCGTGACTTCCAAATCCTAACATAATCATCAAAAACAGGAAGTTTCCTAAGATCACAGTTGTAGTGATATTGACATTTTCATCTGAGAATACTCAGGCATGATTTAAGGGACAAACACTGTGAGAATCTTCTAGTGCCTCATGTAAACTTGTAAGATGTAAAATAAAAGAATTAAAGATGATTAAAGATGATTTTTGGGGGATGCTTTGCCTGAAGAAAAATATAGAGCACAGAAATATAGTATTTTTTTTTTTAATTCATTGGTATTGCTAGTTTCTGGAATCTTGTTTCCAGAAGGCTCCTCCAGGTTCTATAGGCATTTTGCATGTGTGTGCTCAGTGCTGGCTCCTATTGTTCCTTATGGAAGTTTTGGAAAAAGCTTCACCACTTCTCTCTTGTCACCACCTGATTAGCCTTGTGACGCTTCCTACCATCATTTATTGCTACTTCTAAGTGCTGAAAGTTTTGCTCTCCTAGTACTCATAGCTTGTTGAGCCAACCTTAAATGGTCTAGTAGTTTTTTAGGATTAGTTGCCCCCTGAGCAATCTGATTCCCTTCATGAGGACTAGGTGATCCAGGTTACCGCCCAGCTTCTCATAGTTGTTCCTCTGACCCAAGCAAACCAAGATCTTGAGCAAATTCATCTTCTCGCTCTCTTCAGCCTTGTTCTTTTTCTTTCTAAGACAGATCTACAATCTTGCCTTTTAATCAATTCTATTACATGTCTTAGATTATTCTTTAATACCAAGACATTTTCTTCCAACAGGTCGAATGAGGAGACTTTGTTTTGGTAAGAAAACTGCTAGAATTCAGACTAGGAATCAAACTTTTAAATGAAGGCCAATGGGAACTCCTAATTGTTATCCCCCTAATAAGCTACTAGCAACTGAAGTTAAAATTTCTTTTCTAGGGGCCGGCCCGTGGCTCACTCGGGAGAGTGTGGTGCTGATAACACCAAGGCCCCGGGTTCGGATCCCATATGGGATGGCCGGTTCGCTCACTGGGTGAGCGTGGTGCTGACAAAACCAAGTCAAGGGTTATGATCCCCTTACCGGTCATCTTTAAAAAAAAAAAAAAAAAAAAAAAATTTCTTTTCTAATTTTTTAAATTTCAGTTTCCTCACTTAAAGTGCCACTAAGAACAAATGATAAATTTAGATAGTTGGGAAGTGTTTGCCTGAGGAGCCCAATCCAACAGACACTGACAAAAGAATTCAAAAAACATATGAACTGAAATATGAAAAAGGTTAGAAAGTAAAAGCTGACCTTCTACATGGGTCACATGTTTCAATCTATGTTGTCACATTTACCCAATACCCCTCTGTATGTTCTTATAAAGCATCTAGACTTTTCAGAAGAAGCCAGAGACTCACATACTTCAAGAGGCATAAAAATATATTTCGTCAGTCCTTTTAATTATAAAAATGTTAGCTAAAAAAGGAAATTTCCATAACTAATTTTTTAAACTGAGTTTTAAAGAATTCTTTCTACTTAAAAAAAAAAAAAGCACCATAAAACATTTAAGGAACTGTATATAGAAGTTTGTCCAATATAATCGGAACTTCTTGATTTTAATGTTTAAATCCAAATCCAGCACATATTTAACAACTCATTTGCTTTCTGCAAAGTAAAATTTAAAAGAAAAAGTATATTTTATCATTCCAAATATGATATAAAACTATATTTGGTTTGGTTTTCTTCAGTCAGAAGCATAACTGCCTTTAACTAAAATCAAATGAGGAACACAGATGATACAGATTCCTTTATATTAAGACAAATTATAGCATATATGTACGTGTATACATGCAGGAAAAATATATAAATAATATGTAAAATGAAATGAAATATGCATACCCTATTTATATAACGATATAAATACCAGATCACACAATACCTTGACAAAACTGGTTTTTTTTATAGAATTACCCCTTGAAAGTAGCTATCAGATGAAATAACAATAACTTTTGTCCAAGATGTTAGCCCTTTTTATTAACCTTTTCTTCATGATTCTCTCCCAAAAGGTAATTTTTTTTTTTTTTTTGTATTTGTAATCATCAGACTTTCAAATCATATTACTACAGTCCTCAGAAACAATTCATTTCTTCAGCTCTTCATGCCCACCTGGGTTGGTGGAGGTGTTGGCTCTTAGCTCTCCTGACTCTTCCTTTAAAACAAACTCAGCAGGCACTGGGTGCTCCTGAATCCTGGATTTCACAGCATGAGCTGCATAGTTAAGGCTGGTATTTTCAGTCAAATGCCAGTAACCTGAGAAAGGATTATAGAGCATTCCTGCTACCGTCTGAACTGACAGACCATCTGAAAAAAATCAGAAAGAATAGATTTAATACATATTTACCTTCCAAGTGCCAACAGTCCCATGTAACTCTCCATATTAAAAAAAAAATTCTTTTTTTTTTTTAAAAAGATGACCGGTAAGGGGATCATAACCCTTGACTTGGTGTTGTCAGCACCACGCTCACCCAGTGAGCAAACCGGCCATCCGTATATGGGATCCGAACCTGTGGCCTTGGTGTTATCAGCACCGCACTCTCCCAAGTGAGCCACGGGCGGGCCCCCCCCCAAAAAATTCTTAATTTAATAGGCAAAAATACTTTGCAACCACACACAGAGCATATTTTACTGCAGTGTGGAACACATACTCTAAAGCACACTGCCTGAGTTCAAATTCCAGCTCTGGCACCTATTAGATGGGGTAACCCTGGGAAAGTCACTTAACCTTTCTGAAAATCACTTTTATCACATGTATAGAACACATTCACAGAGCTGTTAGAATTAGAAGAGATATGTGTGTAAAGTAGCACAGTGCTTGGAATTTACTCAGTACTCAATAAATATTAGCGGTTATTAGAAATATGAGGGTACTTCAAAAAGTTCATGAAAAGATTCATATTATCTTTTAATTATATTTTTCCACAAACTTTTAAAAAGTATCCTTGTAACTGCCAACAAGAGATTTTTCCCATAAAGCACCTTTAAAATATTTTTTCTACTCTATTTTCAATGAAGTTACTTGCAGAAATCTTAGAACTTATTACATTGCTATGGACTGATAATATTTCAAGGAAAATCATGTTTATTGATATACTGTTATATGAACAAAAAGCAAAAAGCACCAGAAATACAAAAGTCTTAGTACTCAGCAGCAATATCAGGGCTAGCTGGTTAACTCAGAGCACCATGTTACAACACCAAAGTCAAGGGTTTGGATCCCCATATAGGCTAGCCACCAAGAAAAAAAAACAAAACCCCAGAAATATCAAATGACAACTAAATGAATTAACAAGCACTGTTATGTGTCAGGAATTCGACATATAAACTGAGTGCTCTCTATGCGAAAAGCAGGGCTATTCACTGTAGGGAGTACAAAAAAGAGACACAGTCTTGCCTTCAAAGAGCTTACAGGACAGAAAAGGGTGAAAAAACAACAAAATAACCATTACATAAGGCATGCTGTAAGTAACATAACATACATAAAAAATGACATAGGAGCTGGCTGGTTAGCTCATTTGGTTAGAGCGTGATGCTGATAACACCAAGGTCAAGGGTTTGGATCCCTATACAGGCCAGCTGCTAAGAAAAGAAAAAAAAAAAAGGTGACATAGAAGTTCAAAAATATATGAGTGTGGAGGACTCAGGCAAAATAATATGTGAGATAAGCCAATACAAACAGGGCTCAATAGGGCAAACCGAGGATGTATAATAGGCATTTCTACCTCATTCTTAAACAAGTAAGGACAAAATAGACAAAAAGTATTCATTGATCATCTATTTTTTGCTTGGCCCTGGGTTAGGTGCCACAGGTGAGAGAGAAATGATACCTACTAAATTAACCTTAACACCATGGAGTTCATTACCTAATTGAGGAGATGAAACCAACATCCAAAAAATAGTGACCTATTTAATTAAGTGCTAGTTTATATGATTAATAATTACAGATACATAAAAAATTCAGTGAGGCCTTGAAACTTGGAAAAATGCTTGTTAATACTTACTTGATTCCAGAATGCTTTCTAGCTTTTCAGGTGAAATAAACTTCTCCCATGTATGAGTACCTTTTGGTACAATACCTGCAATTTGCTCTGCGAAAACAATTCCCAAGGCATAGGACAGTTGTGTTTTGTTGATTGTAGTAATGAATAAAGAACCACCAGGCTAAAAGGAGTAAAATTATATAGAAGTAAAATTGTACAGAAGTTTTACAATTGTAAAACTGTACAATTTTAAAGGTCAGGAGTATCAGTTAGGTAAAGGCATGGCTTCCCCCTCCCTCCTCCTTTCTTCCAAATAATTTAAATGCAGTTAAGATATATAAGTATAAATAAAATATAATTTACCAGAATAGTAATTTTTTTCTCTTGGGAAATTCGCTACTAAAGGCAGCCCACTACAGATGCACTCACTGAGTTTATACAACAGTGCTTATAACTCTTAAAATCATACATCACTATATTTATATATATTCTTTTATACATATCAAATATTTTCTAACAAAAATATAGCAATGAGATTAGGCTGCTCTTCCTTGTTACATGTCCACATTTATGTTCTAACATATGTCAACACTGTTTTCTCTTTGGGTGCTGAGCCTGTCCAACATGTTCAGTACAGCACAGAGCTATATGTCTTGTGCAGGGAGCATTGCCCATAAGTGTTCTCTGACAAAAACATTAATGATTAAGGTTGGAAAGTTTTTTGTTTTGTTTTGCTTTGCTTTGCTTTCATTTGTATAAACAATATAAAGAGATCGAGATAAGCACTTAGATGCATGCAAATCATTTATGGGACTGTTCGTTCTGCCATTTTTTAGTGACTATATTTACAATGTTTCCTATGTTTAGTCTCATAAACAGCAAGGACATTAATATCCCCTCCCTCTTTTACACATTCTCATTAGCCTGATGGAGATAAAATGCCAAAGATTCCTTCCCAAAAAAAATATATATATATATATATCGAGAGAGAGAGAGAGAGAGAGAGAGAGAGAGAGGAGAGAGATAATATATATCTCAAATACCACCCTGAACCAAAAATTAAAAAGACAAGAGGAGGCCCTGAAATACTGAAGTGTGTCTTTAGATCAAAAACTGAAATATCACACACCATATCATTACACATTGTAACTTTTCTCTGTAAAACTCTAGTATTCTAAAATATCTTACTAAGAATCACTTATGAATACCTAATTTGTGTTATACAAAACTGTACTCTAAGAAAATAGCCATTTTAAAGAATATAGGCTTTCGGTTGACTGGTTAGATCAGTTGGATAGAGGGCCGCCTTGTAACACCAAGGGCAAGGGTTCAGATCCCCATACCAGCCAGCTGCAAAAAAAAAAAAAAAATATATATATATATATATATAGAGAGAGAGAGAGAGAGAGAGAGAGAGAGAGGAGAGAGATAATATATATCTCAAATACCACCCTGAACCAAAAATTAAAAAGACAAGAGGAGGCCCTGAAATACTGAAGTGTGTCTTTAGATCAAAAACTGAAATATCACACACCATATCATTACACATTGTAACTTTTCTCTGTAAAACTCTAGTATTCTAAAATATCTTACTAAGAATCACTTATGAATACCTAATTTGTGTTATACAAAACTGTACTCTAAGAAAATAGCCATTTTAAAGAATATAGGCTTTCGGTTGACTGGTTAGATCAGTTGGATAGAGGGCCGCCTTGTAACACCAAGGGCAAGGGTTCAGATCCCCATACCAGCCAGCTGCAAAAAAAAAAAAAAAATATATATATATATATATATATGTTTTCCATTAAAGCAAAAGTAGTTTTAAAGCCCACAATGCCAGCATTCCTCATGTGTCAAAGAATTTCCAGTCATACATACTGATATACAACACAAAAATTAATAATGAAGGAGTTTTACTTGGAAAACAGGAGATAAGCCTAATAAAACTCCATTTAAGAGGAAACACCAAGAAACTGTCCCAGATACAAGGAGATTAAGGAGACATGGCAACTAAATGCAATGTAGGAGCCTGGATTGAATTGTGTAACAGAAAAATGACATTAGCAAAAAAACTAATGAAATTTAACAAGCTCTGTAGTGCAGTTAATAAGTACAATGCCAACGTTAATTTTGTAGACTTGAGAACTGTAACGTGGGTTATGTGCTGGGCTAAGGCTATGATGAGGCAATAGAGGCTCCTGGGGCACAGAGTTGAAAAAGGCACCTGCATCAGGGCGTGCAAGTATAGGGTCGGCACCTGAGAGGGAGTGTCTCCTGCAATGTTGTGCCCTAGGTGACACACTTGACCCATCCTAGTTTCTTCCCTCATGGTGCAAGATGTCAACAAAAGAGGGAAACAGGTGGAGGAAACACTCTGCATTACCTCTGCGACTGTTCTATAAATAAAAAATTACCTAAAAATAAAGTTTTTTCTTAAAAGGCCTATTTAGATAAGGGCTAAACATTTCATTCTTCTAGCTTTTGACGTCCTGAATATACAAGGGTACTTCAGAAAGTTTGTGGAAAAATAGAATTAAAAGATAATAAGAATCTTTCTATTAGTGTTTTGAAGACCCCTCATATAAACAACAGAGTCAATAAAGTTATAATAATAATAATATTTTAGGATATTTATCGAAAAAAATTTGGAACCATATTCAGAGGACTAAGATTATGGCATATTATATAAACACAATAAATCTGAAGAACCGGACTGGAATCAGAAGATCTAGCCTTAAGCCCCACTTAAGTACCTAATAACCTTTGACTTAAAAGCCCAGTAGGGGCTGGCCAGGTAGCTCAGTTGGTTACAGTGCAGTCTTAAAGGTCCAGTGACTTTTTTTTTTGCTTTTAAAAATTTTTAATTGACTCACAATAATTGTACATAATTACAGGGTAGTGTGACATTTCAACACATGTACACAATGTGTAATGATCAAGGTAATTAGCATATCCATCAGCTCAAATATTTATCATTTCTTTGTGCTGGGAACATTCAAATTCCGGTCTTCTAGATGTTTGAAAATATACAATAAATTATTAATTATAGTCACTCTACAGTGCTGTAGAGCACTAGAATTTATTCCTCCTATCTAGGTATAATTTTGTATCCATTAACCACCATTTTGCTATCTCTGCTCTCCATGGCCCAGTGACTTTTGTTATCTCACAAATCCTCAGTCAAAGGAGGTGACAGCCATGCCTTCCTTTCCTTCCTCACCTGTGTGTAAGATCAAGTGAGATCATATGTATGAAGAACTCTTTCATAAGCTGAAAACTTTTATACATATATCATATACAGAGTTACTTAACAAACACTATTTAAGTAAATTTATGCTAATAATTGCTTTTACTGATTTTTAAGTATTAATCCAAACAAATTTTGAGGAATTGTCATTCATTGCCTATTCAGTATTTAATCCAGGCTATACCAATGGAAAAATACTGCTATAAATGAATTGTTTTCCAATGTTCAGCACCAATATTTTTCAAGATCCCTGGATATCAAGATATTAATAGGACACTGAAAAACCTTGGTTTTTCTTTTTCTTTACTGAAACATAATAGATTGCACCAATCTGCGAGGTACAGCATTGAATCTCAACACCTGTGTGCAATAGTGATGCTCAAATCAGGATAATTAGTATATTCAACATTATACAATGTAATCATTTTTTGTGACTCTACCAATTTCTCATTAACCTCCTCTCCCTGTCACCTTTTCCTACCTCTGGTGGCCTCAGTTCTGTTCTCTCGAATTATTGTGACTGTTATATCTTTCTATCTTTGTTTTTTTATTTATTTGAAAGCCCTGATATTGAGGTCAAGCTGAGGGGTAGAAGTAATCTCTGGTAGAGATGCTGTCCCCTCATCCTAACTTCTTGGATCTTTCTCTCTGTACTTTTCCTGCTGGACTGCTAAAGTATTACAGACATTTTATTGCTATGGATAATATACAAACACTCAGAAGAAAAAACAAACAAGTAAACTCTATAAATCTTACTTTTAACACTTGATAGCAACACTGTATAAATGTTTCTAGATCGATCACATGTTCTATAACTTCGGAAGCTACAACAGCATCAAATGTTTCTGCAGTCTCTTCCACAATCTCTTCTAGAGAACAGGTTCTGTACTCTATCCTGTTATCCAGGACTGGATCAAACGATTTATGGCACTGCGCTGTTTTAATGTTCTCATCCAGAGGATCGATTCCAATAACTGAAGCCCCAAGCCGCCCTAGAGGCTAATGGCATAAAAAATCATTACCCTCAGGAAGAAAATAGAACATATGTTAGCAATAAAAAGCTTATCAAAAATGAAAGAAGACTAACCATGAGGTGATGATTACTGGAAATCGTTTACGGGTACATGGAAGTTCATTTTCTCTAGTTTGTATATATTTGAAATTTTATACATATAGTTTGCATATATTTGAAATTTTCCATATCTTTTTTTTTTTTTTTTTTTTTTTTTTTAAATTTTTAATATAATTTTTTTTATTTTTTAAATTTTTTTCTTTTTTTTTTTTTTTTTTTTTTTAAATTTTTAATATAATTTTTTTTATTTTTTAAATTTTTTTCTTTTTTTTTTTTTTTTTTTTTTTAAAAGATGACCGGTAAGGGGATCTTAACCCTCGACTTGGTGTTGTCAGCACCACGCTCAGCCAGTGAGCGAACCGGCCATCCCTATATGGGATCCGAACCCGTGGCCTTGGTGTTATCAGCACCGCACTCTACCGAGTGAGCCACAGGCCAGCCCCAAGAAATTTTCCATATCAAAAGCTTAAAGTGAGAACAATAATCAAAACAACAAAAAACTTAAGAAGAATTAGTTGAAAATAGGGAAAAAATTTTTTGTCTATGTTTCGCTATGTACATTCACATGCATGTAGTACAGTATTAACATATTTAAAGTACAAAGAGTGTAACTTGCCATTGTAAAAACAGCAATCATTTCTGAAATATTCAAATTTTCTAAAGCACATTTTTCTTAATTTTTTTTCTATGTCTGACTAGAGATGATTCTTTGAAGCTAATTCTTTCAGTTTTTATATTCAGTCACTTCTCATGGCATGCCCAAGTTTTTAAACACAGGCTTAATTTTAATCAAAACTTACATAGTATTTATATGAAACTTGGTTAGTAAATAAGCTAAAAGTATAAATCATATTATTTTAACTTAGGAGACCTAAGATTGCAATAATACACTGAGCAGATAGCAGAACACATATAGTAAAATCTTACTCATTTATAATTTGTAAGCTACATATTCTTGATTCTAAGAGATATATTTTCACATATTTTAAGTTTCCTGAAATTTTCTAATTGTCGTCAAAAGAAACTAGCCCACTGCCAGGTGAAGAACACATTTTCTGTGCATGTGGGCACTTAGCTGTGCATCAAAGGCCTCTGTTAGCCTCGCTGTCAACTTGGGCGAGTTACGGACCTTGACAGTATCACATCCCATTGAATCTTAATTTATATTTGTATCCCATACTGTTCCTTAAAATATCTTTCGAAGATCAAATTATGATGTAGCACTGAAACAAAAAAGTTCCTGTGTTGATAAAAGAATACAGAATAGAGCCATAAGGCATAAGTTTACTATAATCTAAAGCAAATATTCTCCACAGGAAGAATGACCAGTCTTCCAAGTCTAGTAAAGCACCTAAAAAGAGAGGAGCCCAAGAGTAGGCAAAAATCTGTTAGATTTAATTATTAAAACAAGTACAAAAGGACAGCCTACTATTGCATTTAAACAAGTGGAAACTGCCTAATTTCTTGGGACAGAAGAGATCTCAAAATTATCAAAGCTATTTGAATGACCCATGCCCCATTTTTCATTTAAAAAAAAAAAATCTTTCAGTATAATTTTCTGAAATTTTTAGATTAAAAAAAAAGCATGTATTACTTTTATAATCACAAAAATATTAAAATCAATAGTATGCATTTTTTTAATGAACAATCTTATTTGTTGAAAGAATCAATGAGGCACAAGTCCACTTCTTCTCAATTTTTTTTTCCCAGTTACAAATAGCAGGAAAGCTATAAATCACTTACTTCAGTTAACAATCCACCACCACAACCAACATCAAGAATCTTCATTCCAGACAAAGGTTTTCCTGGCTGGTGATTAGCAACTGTTTTCAAAAGATTGTCTCTTTTTAAAAAAATTTGGAACATATAAAAACAAATGATTAATTTTATCAATGGAAAGTCTTAAAAGTATACAATTTTCAATAAAATATTAACTCTCAATTTTAAATGAATTATTGATATTTTTTGAATAAATGAATCTTTTAAGCATTAAGTGATATATTTAATTTATAAAACATTCTCAATAATTAAAAGCAGGAGGTTCAGAATAAAGCTCTGGAATAATCTAGTAGTAATTATGACTTTATTGCTTTAGTAATAAAGAAAAAAATTCAAAATAATCTTATTTACATTAACCTAATTTTATTTGCTTGTGATATCATGACACCTGAGACATCTATTAGTTATGTTGTCAGTGCTTGCTAGACCCATTTCATATCAGCAACAAATAGGTTATTTTACAGGGCTTAGAAGAAGCAGATGGGAGACCTATATTTTCAGAATTTGTCTATCTTCCCTTCTAAATTGAGTCTTTTTTAACCTTCTAAGCTAGTGGTGTTTTCATGTACAAGAATGTAAACAGACATCCAAATCAAGTAAACGTTAAGATAATCACAGTAATACTTTGCCACACAAACAAACACAGGTAGATATATACCTAACAGTATTGTAAACCAAACTTTTAAATTGGACTGTATATGAATTTTAATTATACTTATATTAAAATAAATATTATATATGTCAAGATAGCTTAGGATATATTTTATTGCTATTAAAATTAATTGAATTGTAAGAATAACATGGGTAGTAGTTAAGTAGATCACTTCAGAATATTATAATATACAGAAATAACCCATTTCAAATTAAGTCCAATCCATTCTTCAAACCGTGGCTAAAACAACTCCTTTATATCACAATTTAGATCATATCACTCCTTTTCAATGACTTCCAATTATGCTCAGAATAAAATCTAAATTTCTAACCATAGCTGGCACAGCCCTGGATGATCTGTTTTATGTGATATCTACATAAAAATGTCACAGTAGCTTGAATAGAGTAGTTCTCAAACTTAGTATGCATTAGAATCACCTGGAAGGTTTGCTGAAACACAGATTGCTAAGCCCCCAGAGCAGTAGGTCCAACACAAGGCCTGAGAATTTGCCTTTCTTTTTTTTTTTTTTTAAAGATGACTGGTAAGGGGATCTTAACCCTTGACTTGGTGTTGTCAGCACCACGCTCAGCCAGCGAGCAAACTGGCCATCCCTATATGGGATCCGAACCCGTGGCCTAGGTGTTGTCAGCACCGCACTCTCCCGAGTGAGCCACGGGCCGGCCCCAGAATTTGCCTTTCTAATGCGTTCCCAGGTGATAGTGATGTTGCTGGTCCAGGGCCCACACTTTTAGAACCAGTGATCCAGCCTAATAGAACAGATTTCTGCTTTTCTCTGCCTTAGTGTTTCGGAGGGTCACAAATTGATTGGTAATAAGAAGATGCTAGTATTACCCATTATGCTGCACTGGGTCTGGATAAACTAGTAAAAATCAATCAGGAAGTTCCTTGTGGGCAGAGTCTGAGTCTGATATTCTGTGTCTATCACAGTGCCTTGCCTGTATCAGCTGCTTGAAAATGTTTTTTTTTTTTTTTGTCTTTTTGTCTTTTTTTCGTGACCGGCAATGGATCGCAACCCTCAGTGTCGCGCCCGTACCGGACCGGGACCGGCAACGGGATCGCAACCCTCGGTGTTGCCCCCGCTCCTCGCTCAGCCAATGAGCGGCCGGTCTATATGTGGGATCCGAACCCTCGGCGGGAGCGCCGCCGCGCTTCCCAAGCAGCGCACTGTAGCAGTGCGCCACCGGGCCGGCCCCTGAAAATGTTTGATGAATAAATAAATAGACAGAAGAACAAATGAACAATTTCTTAAATGTAAGCCATGATAAACTTTGCCTTTCTTTATCTCCACGGCAAACTGTAAGTTTCTGAAGCACATGGATTATGTTTCATTCATCTTAATAGCTTTTAGAGTCTAGACCCCAAGCTCTGTAAGGTAAGTTCTCAAAAAATATTTGTTGAAATCAAACTGTCTTAGCAGTATTCCCGTTACCAGAACTGCCTGAAGATCAGTGAGGACACCGCTAGTCAGTAGCTATGAAATAGCTTTGATGCCTACGACTCTAGTTTCCTTTCACAAGGATTTAATTCTAATTAACCTGATAATGTACAAAAATGCTTCAAGTTAAGTTATGAAAGCAGCCTAGACATTGGGTTATATTATTAAAAATTAATGGTTTGGGGCCGGCCCGGTGGCGCACTGGATAGTGCGCCGCTTGGGAAGCGCGGCAGCGCTCCCGTCCGAGGGTTCGGATCCCACGTACAGACCGGCTCCCGCTCACTGGCTGAGCGAGGTGTGGGAGCAACACCGAGGGTTGCGATCCCGTTGCCGTCCCGGTCCGGTACGGGCACAACACTGAGGGTTGTGATCCGTTGCCAGACATGAAAAAAGACAAAAAGGAAAAAATAAATAAATAAATAAATAAAATAAATAAAAATTAATGGTTTCAAAGAGTGGATACTGAAGAGAATCTCCCTAATATCCAAAGCAAACTTAAAATACAGCATTTTGAACTTAGGTATAAACCAATAGAAAAATGAATGCAAAAGAAGATGAATTCTTAAAAAGAGATACAGTTTTTTTATTTATTTTTTATTTTTTTAAAAGATGACCGGTAAGGGGATCTTAACCCTTGACTTGGTGTTGTCAGCACCACGCTCAGCCAGTGAGCGAACCGGCCATCCCTATATGGGATCCGAACCCGGGGCCTTGGTGTTATCAGCACCGCACTCTCCCGAGTGAGCCACGGGCCGGTCCAAAAAGAGATACAGTTTAAAAGACTTAAGAGTTTCTAGAATGTTACCTAATAAATGGCACCCTCAGGTCATTCATGGAATGAAGAGGTGCGTATACTCCTTGCTCATCCCACCACTTGTGAGCCAGGGCCAGGAAGGTTTTCACCTCACTGCTGTCGACAGTGGTTTGTGAAGTACTGTACAGTCTTGTCCGAGGGTACCTAAGAGGTGAAAATGAAAAGCCAGGCACTTACGGCCAATTTAAAAAATGTAACATGAGATATATTATGTAGAGAGATACTCTTATTTACAATTTATTAGATTCTAAATACATATATTGGTCAATTTTGATGCTTTAAAACCAAATTTTCTCCTAATCACACTATATTTACAGATGAAACAAAACTAATTTGCTTTCAAAGTAAGTTGCAACTCAAAACAAAACTTTATAAAAGTTGGCCTTCTTGGTCACATTTAGTAATAATAGTAGCTACCGTTTAGTGAGCATTTAAGATGACAGGCACTATTTAAAAACCCTGCAAATGTCATCTCATTTAATCCTTCCAACAAGTGTAAAAGGTGGGTACTATTACTGTCCCTATTTTATTTTGTTTTGTTTTGTTTTGTTTTCTGTTCCTCCTTTTTATTTCTTTTTACTGTCCCTATTTTACAGAGAAGAAAAGGAAGTCTCAGGAAGATTAAGTAAACAGTGGGGCCACGATATGAACCCAGGTGCCTCCATCTTCACTTCATTTCTACTGCTATCATCCTGGTCTGAGCTGCCATCATCTCTTGCCTGAACTCTTGGCCTAGCCTTCTAATTATTCTGGCTGCTTCCTACCTCATCCCCTTCCAGTCTGTTCTTCACAATGCACCAAGAGTGATTGTTCCAAAAGACAAACCTGATCATGTTATTTTCCTGCAATAAAATGCTTCCATGGCTTCCCAGTGTCATTAGGAAAAAGACCAAAATCCTTAGCATGGCTTACAAAGCTCTGAATTATTTAGCCCCCGTTTTCCTCCCTCCCCAAACTCACCGCCTACTATTCCCCTCACCTTCCCCACACTAGGCACATGGGCCTTCTTTTCAGTCCTTTGAACAGACCCAGATTGCTCTTTCCTCAGGCACTTCGCAAATGTTGTTCCCACTGCCTGAAACACTCTTCCACATCTCCCATCCCTTCCCCAAACACCTAATTAATTTCTGCCCATCCTTCAGATCTTAGTTTAAATGGAATGTTACCTAAGAAGTCTTCCCTGATCCTCAAAAACTGTATCGTATTCCCCTAGTTTAACTCCTATACCACCCTGTACTTCTGCATGGGGCTGCATGATTATTTGGTCATGCCTGCCTCCCCACTAGACTGTAAGCAATATGAAGGCAGGGAATGGACTGTCTCACATACCATTTTATTCCTAGTGACTAATACAGTTCCTGGAACATAGTTGGTGCTCAGGAAACATTTGTCAAATGAATAATCTGAAGGAAAGGCGCAGAAAAGTATATAAATTGCCTAAAATTTTTTAATCAAATGGGATCAAACAGGGACTAAACAGGAAATAGACACTACACTGAATTCTATGTCATAGTAGTATAGGAAAATCCTTCAATGGTCTTGAAGGATTTGGGTAAAAGATAGTAAGGTTAAATTAGAAAAGGTAATGCCATTCAAATTTTTACTATGTTTTTCTTAGCTACATATGGAGAGGACATTCTATATTCATTACTCTTTATTTTTTTAAGATTCAAATGTCACTCTCTAATATTAACATTATCTTAGGAATAGTGGCCTCCTTTTCCATGTTTAATACAAAGCCTCAGTAATCAAGGACTAATTTACATAACAGCAGCTGGTTGCTCATTTGACTAAGAACGATTTTACATATACCCAATCCCAAAGGAGCTCATTTACAAGAAGCAGGACCATGCACTTAGAAAACAGAGTTCAAGTTTTTTTTTTTTTTTCTTTTTTTTTCCTTTTTCTCTTTTTTCGTGTCCGGCAACGGATCGCAACCCTCAGTGTCACGCCCGTACCAGACCAGGACCGGCAACGGGATCGCAACCCTCGGTGTTGCTCCCACACCTCGCTCAGCCAGTGAGCGGGAACCGGTCTGTATGTGGGATCCGAACCCTCAGTGGGAGCGCCACCGCCCTCCCAAGCGGCGCACTGTAGCAATGCGCCACCAGGCCGGCCCCCAGAGTTCAAGTTTTAATAAATGCTATACAATATTTTTCACAAGGTTAGAAATTGGTTTATAAAATACAAATATAGAAAGACATTACTTTGATTCAATATTATTACCTTAGAATAAATACTCATCCATCTTATATTTATGTTGCACCCAAATCATTTATGATTTTAAGCACTGCATTACATGTGTCCTGTCATAAGGATATTATGAGGAAGTAAAAATACTTCTCCAAGTAATACAGTCTTATGTTAAAAATAAAATAAAATATTAAAAATGAAAGTACACTCATTTACTGTCTTACTCTATCAACTTTTCTGTGAGCTTGAAATTTTTCAAATTTAAAAACTGTTAGAAAATAAATTAGTTAAGAATATTTAAATTTTAAAAAGCTACTTTAATCAAACCACATGAGCTATTATTATTGACCAGGCTTATTAAACACAATCAATACTAAACTACTATTGCAAATAATTATGTAAATATCTGCCACGGTAATAAATAAATTCACCTGTAACTTTTCCTTCTGTTCAAACAGGAAAAGGTCATCCTATAGGATTTGAAGCACATGGTTCTGCATTCATTGAAAAACCATGGTTTAACTTGTAGAGTCCAACTGAGCTGATTCTCTGAATAAACTGAAAAAACAAAAATTAAATGTCTAGTGAAGAGTACTGCACAGTAAGAATCCCTGATATTGATGAAATTTTATTTTATATGGTAGGCTTATGTTATATTACAATTGATAAACCCAGTGTTTTTTTTCCCCTTAATTTTGGATTTTACTTAAAAAATAAAATAAAGGCCTTGCATTCTGACATCTATCTCTAAACAGACATTTCTAAAATTATAACTAGCAAAAACAAGTAATGCATATTTGAAAGCTTTTCATGCCATTAGTTTTTGCATCTGCATTATGCTGCACAAAATTATCAAAAAATGATATTCAAATATAAACAGTGCTACCTTTTAAATAAGAAAATATTTGTTCTGAGATTATTTGTCAAAATTAGTTCAAATTCAATTCCATGTTAGCTACATGAAATAGATTTTTATATATGCTTAATGCCTTTTACAGAGGGAAAAAGAATGTGTGTATGTATATATAATATCCTAAAATAAACATGTGCCCAGTCTATATGTTTAAACATACATAGAGACCTGATTTATAAACCAATTACTCTGTTGCAGAATATTCAGTTGTTCAAAAAACATTCAGACAAAGTAGACTAGAGCAAAGAAAAGTACCAGGGACAAAGAGGTACATTAATTACATCATGATAAAAGAGAGAATCCACCAAGAAGACAAAGCAATTCTAAATGTGTATGCACCAAACAATGGAAGTTCAAAACACATGAAGCAAAAATTGACGGAGCCAAAAGGAGAAACAAACACATCCACAGCTATAGTTGGGATCTTCAACACCTCTCAGTAATTGATAGAACCAATAGACAGAAAATCAGCAAGGATAAGGAAGAACTGAACAACACTGTCAATCAATAAGATCTACTTGAAATTTATAAAACACTCCACCCAAACGACAGAATATACACTCTTTCAAGCATGCATGGAGCATTCATAAAGATAGACCATATCCTGAGATATAAAACAAATCTTCACAACTTGATGAGAAGTGAAATTATACAAAGTATGTTTTTAACTATAACAAAATTAAACTAGAAGTAAATAATAGATAACATGAAAGAGCAAAACACTTGGAAATTAAACAACACACTTTTAAACAATTGGTTAGGCAAACATGAAGTCTCAAGAAAATAAAAAAAATTGAAGTAAATGAAAATAAATATACTATATATATATAAACATCTGTGGATGTAGCTAAAGCAGTGCTTAGAGGGAAATTTATAGCACTCAGTACTCATATTGGAAAACAAGAAAGGTTTCAAATCCACAATCTGCTTCCACCTCTGGAAAGTAGAAAAAGAACAAAATAAACACATAGCAAACAGAAAGAAGGAACAGATAAAGATAAAAGTAGAAACCAATGACACTTAAAAACAAAATAAGAACAGAGAAAATAAATCAAACCTAAAGTTAATTCACTGGAAAGATCAATAAAGTTGATAAAACTCTAGCAAGGCTGACAAAGAAAGAGAAGACCTAAATCACCAATATCAGGAATTAGAGAGAGAATAAACTACAGACCTGACAGACATTAAAAGGATGATAAGGACATAATACAAACAACTCTATCCACAGAAATTCTACAACTTAGACAAAATGGACTAATTCCATGAAAACCACAAATTACCAAAGTTTATGCAAGATGAAATAGCTTGAGGAGTCCTATAACTACTAATGAAATTGAATTCATAGTTAAAAGCCTTAAGAAAAATAAATTTTCAAGCCCAGATGGCTTTACTGGTGAATTCTACTAAATGGTTAAAGAAAAAAATAACTATCAATTCTACCCAATAGCTTCCATGAAATAGAAGAGTGAGGAACACTTCCCAACCCATTTTATGAAGCCAGCATTACTCAGATACGAAAACCAGACAAAGACACTACAGCAAAGAAGGTCAGAGACCAATTTCTCTCATGAACAGACACAAAAATACCCAACAAATATTGTCAAATAGAATTTAGCAACATATAAAAAGAATAATACAGCGCAACCAAGTGGGATTTATTCTAGCTATGCAACACTAATTCAATATTAGAAAATCAATCAACATAATTGACCATATGCATAATTAAAAGAAAAACCGCATAATTATACACACTGATGCAGACAAAGCATTTGACAAAAATCCATACCCATTTATGCTGAAAAATTCTCAGTGAACTCAGAAGGAAAATCATTTTATAAAGCGTCCTATAAAAATCCCATAGTCTCCATAGTACTTAATGGTGAAAAACTAAGTGCTTTCCCTTCAAAATCAGAAACAGGGTAAGCATGTCCATTCTCATCACTCTTATTTGACATAGTATTGGAAGTCTTATTGGTGCAATAAGGCAAGAAAATAAAATAAAAAGCATAAAGAAAAGGAAGAAAGAAACCAAACTGTCCCTATTGCTTATGTAATAGACAATCTTATGGGGAAAAAAAAGTTCCAAGGAATCTTAAGAAAAAAGCTCCTGCAACTAACAAATGAGTTTAGAAAGGTCAACGATTACAAGGTCAACACAAAAAAGTCAATCATGTTTCCGTATGAAGAACAATGAAGAACTGGAAAATAAAATTCAAAATTCAAAATTCTGTATCATTTAAAATCATTCCAAGAAGAATGAAATACTTTCATTGTTGTATAAATCTAACAAAAACATGTACAGGTTCTGTATGCTTTAAATTATAAAACACTGAGGTGAGAAATCAAAGACCTAATAAGGTGACACACAGGGTGGTTGGCTCCTCCATCTCCAACATGCCATCTTTGCCACAGTTGTAGCAGGTTCGCTATCCAGTGCAGGGAGAAAAGGTTCGTACCCTGCTCTCGCTGCTCTACTTCTGATGCTATTGTAGTGAGCTGTGGTCACTGGAATGTGTCTCACGAGGTGGACTCCCAGTATGGTTCCAGTTGCTTTGAAAATATGCCATTGGCTGAAGCCAGACTAAAAAAGAACAGATGTGCCAACTGCTTTGACTCTCCTGGCCGCACGCACATCCTCTCCACCCGAGCAACAAGCATCTCCACACAGTTTCCAGATGACTCAGTTAAGATCACATGAAGAAAGCCTGTGGATTTTGTCGCTGACATCTAGAGATGTGGGCATGGCAGACAAATCTGTAGCTAGTGGCAGTTGGCAGGAACCTGAAAATTCTCACACACAACAGATGAACAAATTGAATATTACCAGCAGCTTGCTCAGAAAGATAAGTTTGAATGCAATGTCAAGAAACTGACACAGCATAGAAACTACATGCCTCTGGCTTTTTTGGACAAATATGGTCTTAAAACCAGACCTCAGCAACCACGAGCTTCAATACCCTTGCTGGACTTTCCCTTAAAGAATGAGAGGAACAAAAAGAGATAAAGATTGAAACAGCTCAGGTTGTAGTTGAAATGGAACCTCTGCCTGAAGACTATTATTGCACAAGACCAGTAAATTTAGCCGAGGAGACCACCTTTCAGCAGTGCCTCTTACAGCTTCACTTCCAACCATTCTGTGCTTCACAGGTCTATCCTCACTCATCTTCTGATTAAACGGTCACTGCACTGCCAGAAATGTGAACCTAATTTGAGCAAGCCAGAATTTAATCCAACCTCTATCACATTCAAAATTCAACTGGTTGCTGTCAATTATATTCCAAAAGTGAGAATCATGTCAATTTCCAATCTTCTACAGGAAGGAGGGACAAGTCCTCCTGACTCTTACTAATCCAGTGGAGAACCTCACTCATGTGACTGTTGGAGTGCGAGGGGACCCTTATAACACCAGCAGTACTGCTAAGGTGGTGATGCCTCCCACAGAGCTCGTTTTAGCTGATAAGAAGGCAGCAGCAAAATATGATGAGTTGGCAGAACCCCAAGACTTTCTGGAGAAACTTGATATTATAGCCTTCAGAAAGGCCAAAAGAGTGGGTATTTTCTTTTCTTTTTTTAAAAAGATGACTGTTAAGGGGATCTTTAACCCTTGACTTGGTGTTGTCAGCACCACACTCTCCCAAGTAAGCCAACCAGCCATCCCCTACATAGTGATCCGAACCCATGGCCTTGGTGTTATCAGCACCACACTCTCCCAAGTGAGCCACAGGCCGGTCCTAAAAAGTGGGTATTTTTATCAAAGCTACCCCACAACATGAGGAGGGTGAGTGATCATATGCTTCAAGATGAAGCATGATTTTAGAAACCTGGCAGCCCCCATTCACCCTATGGAAAAAAGCGACCAAGACACAGAGCTCATCTGGCTCACTTAGCATGTGTAATTCAGCTTTGGCCCTCTTCTTCCTTAAAAGGTTCCACTGGCAGGCAGATCCCAAAGGGTTACCGTTAAGTCATGTTAAAATATGGAAGCTGAGGCTTCATTAGGCCTTGTTTATAACAATGTACCCATGCATTACTGAATCCTATTCCTAGGAGAGTGGGAGCATAGGCCAGGCATTAGGAAAACAGGGTAAATGCTGCATCTTGCTCTCTCCTCTGTTCACACTAGTAAGTTCACACTGAGCGCTGCACATTGAATAACAGCAGCATAATTCCATCCTAGTAAAGGGGATGACTGTTCCCTGGAGTGGCATTAAATTTACTACCTGAGAAACTCTGACCATACTATCTCTCAATCTAATCTCACAAAGGATCACAGTCTCACAGATGAAATTTAAAATGATAAACGAAAGATAGACCTGCTATTAATGATCCAACATTGGTCTCAATGTACTGCTTTCTGTATTCCATTAAACATAATCTAGCAGTATAAAACATATCCCTTCACTTGCCATCATGGCTCCCATTGCGCCTCAAATTTCCATTTGACAGAAAAATAGAATTGTCTGTCACCTTGTTTTGTGATTATGGGAAAAAAACCTATGAAACTCTTAAAGTGCTCTCATTTGCCCTCTTCTTGTAAGTGAATACAGGACACTTATCAGTTGCTCTTAATTTTTTTCCAGTAGAATATGGAACTTTTTCTTTAAGAAGAATTTGAGAAGCAAGCAATGCCATATCATGTCAAGGG